GCTCTCACTGAAACTGCGCCCCCTGCTCCACACCCTTCTCTGCTCCTCTGGGCCTGGTCCAGAGCCCACACAGCTCATCCCTGAGGAGCCCCGGGGAAGGCAGGCCGGCACTCTTACCTCATCCAGTCTGTTCTGCTGGCAGGGGAAGGAAAATGTGAAGCCCAGAGGCAGGGACACGCCCTTCATGCCCATGTACTCCAGGAAGTCAGCGATACACTGGACGATGTGGTCGAAGAGCTGCCGGGAGGGAAGGTGGGCAGTGAGGGAGGGGGATCCCTGGTGAATTGCCCTGCAACAAGGCCAGGTAATGAGCCTCAAGGCCTCCACCCAAGAGAAAGTCAAGGCTCAGACACAAACCCTGCGTGGAGGCCACATCTGGGCCCATAGCCCACTGAGCGCCCTGTGGAACCCAAGCAAGCAGAGGAAGGACTGTCCTCCCAGTTGGCTGCCTACAAGGACACCCTCCCTCGCCCCCTGCCTCACCTCATCCCCTGTGCCGTGCATGACCTCCTGCGGGATGGAGTAGATCTTGTTGTGCATCTCCACCCCGCGCCGCTTCCCGTTCCGCACACGGACCAACAGGACACGGAAATTTGTACCCCCCAAGTCCAAAGCCAGGAAGTCACCTTTCTCTGGAAAATCAACCCAAGAAGAAAGACGGTGAGTTGGCTTCACCGCGACACCTTGGCAGATAGTACCAGGGTCTGGAGCACCTTCACGGAAGCCCCTTGATCATCTTGAGGGTGACGGGCTGTGACTCCCAACTCAGAGGAAAGAAAACTAACCACCTCCTGCAGCGCCGCTCACCTTAGGGATTCTCAAATGAGTTCAGATGGTGGGACCCCAAAAGGGAGCTCCGCCTAACCCAGGGAATGCTACAGGAATGCCAGGAGCACCCTCCCAACTCTGAGGCACCCTGAAGGGAAAGCCTTTGAAATGAGGAAACTCGCCTTTCCTGGGCAACTGAGGATACAAGCATCAATGGGCAAGAAGTTCTCGGGGAGGAGTCTGCTTTGAGCCCTGATCACAGACTCTACTCAACCCTTTGGCCAGCTGAGAAGGAGGTCTTTCCGTCACCCAGGGCCAGACAGCTGGAATGGGGCGGGCGGGGACTCCATCCCAGTTCTGAAACCCCTTCAGTGACTATGTTTCTCAGAATTGGAAAAAGACCAGGCTTTCTTATGTTAGTACACTTAGCCAAGGCATCGGCAACCCTCTTCTGTAAAAGGGCTACACAGTTCAGGCTTTGTGGGTTCAATGGTGTCCGTTACAACTATTCAGTATTGTCATGATTGCAGCGAGTAGCCACAGACAATATATGGGCAGGTAGGCAGGGCTAAGGGTCAATAAAACTTTATTTACAAAAACAGGCTATAAGCTGAATTTGGATCAGGGGCCAGAGTTTACTGGTCCTTGAGCAAGACCACGGTGGTGATTCAAAGAAGTGGTTGGAGAACTTCCTGGGCTTTTATCTCAGATCCTCCTTTGCTAGCTTTGTGACCTTGGGCAGGTTTCTTAGGTTCTCTGGGTCTCACTTTTCTGCCAAGTAACTCAACATTCATAGTGAAACATATTAAATGAAATACGGTATGTAAAATGCATATGGAAGTTCTTACCACGGGGTGTGCAATCACTAAGTTCTGACTGTTTCCCTTTTAGAGGGAAAATATCTCAGTCAAGCTTATGAGGCACTGGGATTCCCTTGTCATTCAGACCAAGAAGCCTGTTCAGGTCCAGTGCTGAAGTTAAAGACACATCAGATCCACCATGGTGGGCCGCATACCTGTGCCATCGGGGGTGGCACACACATAGGTGGGCAGCATCTTCACGGGGGCACTGGCGTGAGTCTCCTTTCTCAGGCCTTGCTCCATTTCCACTTTCATCCTCCTCTTGACCTCCAGCAGCTGCTCCTGGCTCAACTTCAGAGACTCCAGGGTCTTCTGTCGGGCTCGGTGTTGATCGGCCAACCGGTAGGCTACTGCAGTCACCATGGCCGCCCCCTTGCCACTGCCATCCTCCGAGCGGAGAAAGCGGACATCGCAGTCGGGCACCAGGCGTCTCACTGTCTTGTGAAGACGCTTGGCAAAACTGTAGCCACCGAGATAGGAAGCCAAGAGTCCACAGTTAGCGAGTAGCCTGGTGTGTGTGGTTGGGCAGGAGCCTATTGTCTCAGCCCACACCCCAGGAGCACCCGGAGGAGTAGATGCTGACCTCTACATCCCCAGGAATGGGGGGGTAGGGTGAAAGGGGGGGGGGGGCATGTCACTGACTGCACTCTGTAATCACTCTAGCTGGGTTCCTCTCCCTGCATGCCGAAAAGAACTCTTGAAAGATGGGGCCTTCTAGTCCCATAAAGAGTTACAGTCTCAGAAACTCACAGGGGAGTGGCTGTGATTTTGAAGCACTGGCTGGGAGGCTGGGGGACCTCAGGGCCAAGGCCTTTGGCACCAGATAATTAAGTGAGTGATGGTGCAGTGACCTGGTATTCACAGGAAGTGAAAGATTCCTTCCAGGTGCCAAGTGAAATCTGAATACATGACCCCAGGATCAAAACTCAGAGGCAAGGCAGGATAGATTCAATGCCAAGGTCATGGGAGGACACTGGCAACCCACTACACTGGGGTAGCCCTGGAAGAGGACAGGGCACCTGAAGAGACCCCCAAAGGTCACAAAAGAGTCAGAGGAAAAGCAGAAACACTACCTGCATAGGACTAGCAAGAACATCCTCAGTGATCTGAGGAGCTCCCGTCGAGTCCGAGCTGTCAGTGGCCTTCAGAAACCAGGTCCCTCTTCCTGCTGGCCCACCTGAGTCACTCTTCTACTCTATGATGCATCTCTGCCCCTAAACCCCGCAGCAGAGTGGGCCCATTCCCAGAGCCCAGCAGAGATCCCAGGTGCTGGCGAGTCACCCCTGCCCAGTCCCCTGAACACAGACTCACTGGGGGTGCTTCTTGTAGACCGAGCCGTCGACGCCAATGGTGGAGCGAAGCCTCTCTTCTCCCCCCTTGTTCTCCTTGAGGCGCCGCAGCACGGCTGCCAGGGTGGCCGCGCACAGGTTGGCCGAGCGTGTGGACACAACCTGGCAGATCCGGTGAGTGGCCACACAGTCCTCATGGGTTGGCTGCAGCCCGAGCCGCACAAGGATCTCGTGGGCCTTCCGGACACCGTCCTTCTCCCTGGGGGACCAAAAAGAGAGCACATGGGCACTGTGTGGTACCCACTGTGCCTGGCCAAGGACACCCCTCAGCCCCAGCACACCCACCTCCACGGAGAGCAGACACATGTTCTGTGTGCATGTGTGCATATGGGGGTGGGGAGTAGATAGTAGAACAAGGGAGGTGGGGAATAAACTGGAGGCTACTTTCCCAGAGACAGCACATACGCTTACACACACGTTCATGCATGCACGCATACATGCATACAAGCATAGATACCTATATGCAAGCATGCACACATATCTACACATATGCACACATATATCCATACATGCAAACTTGTGTGCACACAAAGAATGCTGCTCCACTGTCCCCATCCATGTGTCCTTTTATGACCATCTTTCCTATGAGAATAACACATCCCTTATTCACCCACTGTGTAAAGGCAAGGCCCTGTGCGTGGCCCCTTACACACCAAGTTGTGTGTGCGTTGTTTGCTTGTTTGAGGGTATGGCTGGAGGAAGGATGCCTCTGCCACCCCCCATGACTGTGAACCGAGTCATGAAGCCCACCTTAAGTCCCCGTGTAAAGGCAGTGGGAGCCTACCTTCTAGCTCCCTTGCCACAAAGGTTACCTAGTATTGGCCTCTGGTTTAGCAGGTAAGACAGAGCCAATGTGGGGGATTGGCTACCTACTCCAACTTCACTACATGAAGCCACACTTCATGCTGGAGCACGCACCGCTATGCCATGTGCCTGCAATGATGACCCCCTTCTTAGGGGAGTGATTTATTTCAGTCATAAGAGGACTCTCACCCCTCTGGGTTTGTCAATCAAATAGGCCCCATTCTTCAAGAGTTTCCATGTAGAGCCAAGTCATTTGAACTTTTTGACCACTCCATTAGCACCAAAATCCCTTCTCACCCCCACCCTTCTTACCCCCACCCTACAAATGGAAATCTCCATTACAGGAAGTCAGACTCCAGCCTTTGGATACTGTTAACTGAATCCCCCAAAATACAAACCAGTCCATCCTCACTCCTACCCCTGCCAGTCGGTAAAAATACATGCCTCGGTGCTTCTCAAGAGAATCTAGAAATAGACACAATGCCAAGCTCCCCGAAGACCGATTTTTCCATTATGAAGCAGAGGTCTGGATAGAATCCTTTTTGAGAATGGCCAACATGGAAGATGCCAGAGCTTCAGGGGATGGGGGAGTGCTAAAGGTGCGAATGAATCATCAAGGTGCCCCACACATTAAAACAAAGTCAGAGTCGGGCAGTCACAAAATGGCAACAGACATGGAAGGACATGCAACAGAACTGGTAGTTCAGTGGCAAAACGGTCATGTCTCATGCAGAGACCCAACTTCAGTCCCCAGTGCAATGTCCAGTCAGTGCACCCCAAGCACAGGCACCACTGTCTGTCATTAGAGGCTTCCACATGGCTAGGATGCCCAACAGGCAGCAGTCGAGCTAAGACAGACGAGCAAGAAAGGCCTAGCAATCTACAGACCATAAAACCCTGGTGTAAAAAACAAAACAAAAACCCGGGTGTATTACCCTGGTCCAGCCCCACTGTGCATGGGGTCACCATGAGACAGGAACCAAGGGGACAGCAGCTAAGTAAGTAAGCCAGCAAGCCCACCATGGTTCATGTTAGGGGAGGCCTCCTTGTGGCTCACCTTTAAAGGGCCAAGCACACGTGCCTTCTTTTCCTTATCCCCCAACCGCCCATCTACCCTCCCAAGAGGCCAATGAAGAGGCCAATGAAGCTCACCCTTCAATATCTGAGACATCCTTGGTCTCGAAGAGGCCTGTGGTGAGGAGCTCTGAGCTGAGCTTGCCCCCAAAGAGCAGCTCCTCCTTGGTCATCTTCACCAGGATCAGCCTCACCAGCTCCCCCATGTACATTCCGCTGATCATCTTCTCAAATCTGCAGGAAGACAGGACACAGACCCCACTGTCAAAGAACTCACAACCACGGGAGCAAGATGTCCCCACGGGACACTCCAACGCAGGTTAGAGTGTGGTGCAGCACTGAGGAGGACTGAGGTATGTGGGAAGGGACAGCCACTGGGGCTAGAGGAGCTGGGGACCATGAGTTGGTCTCAGCAGGCTGCTCGGACCTTGGGCCACAGGGAAGAACGTCACCACAGTTAAAGGAAACGTCCGGGGAATGCAGAAGGTGCTGGGACAGCTGGACGTTCTTGTTAAAGCAAGGACTCGGCTGCTAACCAAACAGTTGGTGGCATGAACCTACCCCGCAGGTAGGAGAATCTACGGAGTGGGTGGGAGAAAGCTCTGGGGATCTGGAGCCAGGACACCCGGTGGGGCGGTGGCACTCTACCGCAGGGGTCAGGAGAGTGGACTCCACAGGCACCAAGGGAGAGGACGGGGGTGGGGGGCAGGGTAATTTTAAGAGACCAAGGAGTCAGTCTGACGCAATGGAGGCAGAGGTCCAGTGACCCTCAACCCACAGGGCTCCTTCCTGCTGCCGGCCCTGCATGGAAGGTCAAGGTCTGAAAACAACCCGTGCAGGGGGTGAGGGGCAAGGTTAGCGAGGCAGGTTGGGACAGCTGAACAGGAGCACTAAAAGTCGGACAATCTCGGGAACTTGGGAGGGAGTCGGGGTGGAAATTCCTAGGGGACTGTTACAGAAAGGCAGGGGGTGGAGGCCAAGCTGAGAAGGGTGTCACGTACTGTATTTCTCCAACACTAGGGGACACTGTTCTCTTTGTTGAAAGAGACCCTCTGGCTACAAGTGTGTGACAGACAGGGAAAACCAAGCCCCCCTTGCCCTTTTATTTGGCAAAGCCCACCTACTTCTTGGCATGTGGGGGCGGCTCTGGGTCCTAGAGAGAGGAGGCCCCCAGGCCTACCAGTACGTACTAGAGTGGGCAGTGGGCTGCAGCAAGGAGGAGGCCCAGAGCAGGCGAGGAGGTGCACTGGACATCAGCTAGGGCCTTCGACAAGAGAGGCAATGGAGGAAATGACTGGCTCAAGACTCCCAAGCTGGGGACAGCAGAATTGGAGCTAACTAGAGACCTGACAAATTACTTCCAACTTCTGCCTTGTCGGCCTGGGCACAGTGGACATGGGAAGGAACTAGCCTGTCTGCTGTCTGATCGTCTTCCTTCCGAGCTAACTAGAGTGCTGGTCCTACAGGCTGGGCTCTGAAGGGAGGGCAACAGCATAAAGCTTTTTTAAAAAACACTTACTTTTAGACAACGTTTCGAATATATTAAGTTGAAAACATACCACGAGGACCAACAGTTGTCTATTCTAACTGCAAGGCTGCCGTGATTGACCATGTGATGCAGGTCCTCCCAACCTCTGCTTTGTCGAAAGACAAGTCAGCGAGTGCGTTGACAAAGTGGGGGTGGCAATTTTGCCTTGTGACGCTTCAAAGGGCATCCATCTGGCTACTTGGATGTACCTCATTAGGTGGAGCAAGTGCAGAGTGACATCTCGGCCCATCAGCCTCTCACCACCCAGGACAGACACAACCAGGAGGTTCAGATGAAAGTTACACAGAGGTCACAACCATGAGGAGAAGCCAACGACTTCAACAAGCTGGGCTTTGAGGAAGCAAAGACTCTCCGGTAAAGAAAGTGCTGGCCTGGCTTCTAGGGTTGGAGTCCTGTCAAAGCAGAGAACTGTGCTAAAAGCTTTCCTAAAATAATCCCGGCCACCAGAAGGCTCAAGAAGTGTTGCGTTGCTCAAAATATGTTGCAATTGCCTTCAGTGCCTGCAGCCACCCCTGTTTCGAGATCTTCCCTCGGCACCTGCTTGGGAGAGTGCAATCCTGTTTCGTAAGAGTCGAAAGTCACTAAAACTCAAGTCTGGTCAGACTGCAGTGTGTAGCACTCAAGGGAGCAAAATGTCACCACCACCACCACCACCCTACCCCCAACCCCACACCAGTCCACCCCCTAGGGATACAATGGTTATATCCCGGGACACTATCTGGGCCAGAGTGTCCAAGGAAAGAGGTCAAGGAGGATCCTTGGCAACTTTTCCAATTGGCACAGGGTTGACCTGTGGCTGAGACAAGAGGTTCTCTGACTCCTTGGGGTCCTGCCTAGCTCATCGGTCTAAGTCAAAGTCTCAGCCAGTTATTGACAGGTCAACTAACCAACCCTTGACCTCTGACCAGTGACAGGGTGGGAGCTATGGGCCCAGCTCAACGTGACTTCTTTTATGTGGCTCGGTAACTACTTCTCGGGACAATTCCTAAGTAGAAGGCAGAAAGAAAGAGCAAGAGCACACATTTGGACGACAGTCTTTCCAGACGGCTGCTCTGCAAGTCACGGCCAAATTATCAGTGCTAGCCTGAGATACCTGCTTGTGCTATCTCTTTAGAACTGTCTTGGCAATTTCATCAAAGTGTGCCAAAGGAACTCTGCCTCCCTGTAACCAGGTATCTTTGGCAAACCTTTAGAGCTGTCAGAAAAGCGCGGAAACCACTGCTTAGCCCTCGCCCCGTCCCTGGTTCCTCCCCGACGCCAAGCCCACCCCAAGACTGAAGGGACCCTACTCACAGCTGCTTCCCAGGGTTCAGAGAGCCCATGTCGACCTCCTGGTCAAACTCAGTGCGAATGTCGTTGAGCGTGCCGTCGTCTCCAAAGGCCCCCCACTCCATGTTGATGCACATGCGGCCCTCGTCGCCCTCCACCGTGTCAATGTGGCGCATCTCCTCCATGTAGCAGGCGTTGCTGCCCGTGCCTGGCCAGAGTAAGGGGCCGCTTGGTGTCTGTCCACACAGCCCCCTGCACACAACCCGCGCCTTCCTCTTGCCCCAGGGCCCTGCTCTCTGAGACTGCCTAGTTGACTGGGGCTTCTCACTACTGCATTCTGGAGCTTCCTACAACGTGACCCCAGCACCGCCTCCCTTACAGCCGACGCCCCGTGTTCATGCCGCAGGGTTCACTCACCCACGATGAGACCGATCTCGCAGTTCTGGTCATCATAACCACAGGTCATCATGGTCCCGACTGTGTCATTCACCACCGCCACAATGTCGATATCGAAGTCCTGTGGAGATAATACAGAGGGCTCTGACCTTCGGTCATCACAGAAAGTTACAGATGGGAAGATGCGGAGAAAGGGCAGCACGCCCCATGGTGATACCCAGACCAACTCCACTGCTAACGTCTCCACTCTGTGTGACCCCCCCCCACCTATAGGATTTCTGAGACCGTAAATCTTTACAGGAGCAGCCTCTTCTTTCTCCTGAGAAGTGGCCGGTGAGTTTGAACCACCAACCTTGGGGTTAGCAGCCCAATGCCTCACCGCTGGGTCCAGAGCCAGAGCCGGTCCGACGGCAATGCAGCTCACTCTCTGCTTGTGTCCATCGTGGTCATCCATGATGACAGGCCCCTGCGGGCTGGCTTTTGCCATCACCGCACTAGAAGAAGCTCTTTCTTTTCTTCTCCTCTCTCCCTCCCAATCACTACTTTACCTTGCCTTTTCCCTGGCTCATTTCCCACCGGTGTCAACCTCACCCCCACGTTCTTGACGGTGATATGCAAGCCTTTTTCAGGTTAAAGACAATCAAGATTTTCTGGCGCCTAGACTAAGATGATTTAATCGTGATGCTCATCTGAAAACCCAACAGCCTCTGCTCACAAAGGTGATGGGGGGCAGGGGAAGAAGAAAAGAAAGTCTCTCCCTCGGAAAAACCACAAGCCTCTCATGCTGATTCTCAGGCTTCAGAAGAAGAGAAAGGGTCCCCAGACCCCGAGAAAGATCCCACCATGACTGTGACTTGTGCGTGCAGCCAGCCCTACTCACCCCTCTCCTCTGGATGGCCTTCCGGATCAGACGCACCACGTCTTGGCCTTCCACACCACTGGACTTGAACCCCTTAGTCCAGGTGACCAGGAAACTCTGGAGAAACACCAAGGAACGAACATAAATTCTCCCACCCAAAACTTGCATGCTCCACCCATGACATAAAAACCATTAGCAAGACCTCCACCTCCACCCCCACCGCTACTGAGCTAACCCAAACTAAATCATGACTGAATCTACATAGTGCTTTCTGACTCACTGGAGAAGCATGGGCCCTGCAGAGACCAGGAAAATAGAGGTTAAATAAATGAGCCCCTCGTGATTTATTACCCAAAAGGGGAAAGAGGAAGTGATAAAGTCATCAAAATCAGACATTCACATCTTCATATCAGTGTCAGCCAACCAAAAGCCACCAAGTTCCCAGGTAGTGTTCACTCTAAGATCCTCAGTGTAATACTCTGTATACACACTGAGGCGAGGCTGTTCCTGCTAATGTCTCAGCCGTGTTCCCGGAGAGAAAGAAAATGTGAACTGGGGAAGGGGTGAGGGGAGTGGGAGAAAAGTACTAGAAGACTTCCTCATATTCTGATCCTTTCACCCTTACACACACACACACACACACACACACACACACACACACACACTCAAGCACCTCGTCACTCAGCAAGACAGAGCTCTCATTGTTCACACCGTGCCTGCACAGCCCATCAGTCTCTCCCTTCCTCCCAGCCCCAAGGACAAAGGAATGAAAGGGAAGACTCCATCTTACCTCGTCTAGTTTCGTCTGGTGACAGGGGAAGGAGAAGGTAAAACCCAGCGGGAGCTTCTTGTCTTTGATCTGGAGCTGGCCCATGAAGTTGGCCAGGCACTCGGCAATGTGGTCGAACAGCTGCGGGCGCACAACACAAGGAAGGTGAGCAGGAAGCCAGAGGGGCACCGACATGAAAGGGAGGCCTGGGCTCTGAGCTCAGAGAGGAGCTAACTGAAGGTGGGCGCGATCCTTATCCTTCTGGGTCCCCTATGCTCATCTGGAAAATGAGTCATAACAATGCCTGCCCTGAAAGGCCTTAGAGAGTCAATGCATACAACGTGCTTAACACAAGGCAGTGGTCATTACACAGTCTTTCATTGCACACCATTGTTTGAAACCACGGTCAAAAGAGCCCTGTGAGACCAAGGAAACCCTGGCCGAAGTCAACCAGGAAGTCCTCCTGTGACCCGGGAACAGAACATCCCTCAGTGGCCCTGTCAGAATCCCCTTGACATGGGTGGACAGCTGATTATTTTACCAGAAAGGGCAGACGGACTTACTGCCAAGAAATATTTCAGCTCTCCTGTCTCTTGAGATGGGGGAAGTGGCGGGACAAGGGCGGGGGTGGGGGTCTCTCTGTTGCTAGTCTATGAACCAACCTAGCAAAAGCAAGCAAATTTACCTTATAATTTTATTCCATTCTAGAACCATAATCTCAAATTTACCTTATAATTTTATTCCATTCTAGAACCATAAACTCCCAGGAGCAATTCAAAGGAGGCGTCTTTGTTTGTTAACTCCAAAGTGGAATATTCAGTAAGCCCAGTCAATGTCTGAAGAATAAAAAGTGTTGTGGGCAACCTCACAACCATGACCATGATCTGTGGAACCTGCAACTCCTAAAGAGGCTGAGGACTGTGGGGAAAAGCCACATTCACAATAATCCAGGGTTTGTGATCAGTCCCAAAGCCCACAATTCCCTGGGCTCCTTCCGGGCAACTTCATCCTCCAGGAGCAGATCACTGTAAATGGACTCAGGCTAGGGACAACTGGTGTAAGACAGCAAACAGGGGTGAAAGAGGATGAACAGAACAAGGGTCACGCTGGTCATGAAGCAAAAGCTAAAAGCCAAGGGAGATGGGGGAGGACAACATTCCTCTTCTTCTCTAGGCAGAAGCAGGGAGGAGTCCACTGAACAGTGGTTCCTGAAGTGTGGTCTTAGACCAGTAACATCACTATCACAGGAGAACTTGTTAGAAATGCAAATCCTGGGGCCCTAACCCAGACCCACTAAATCAGAACCTCGGGGCATGGGGCCCAGCATTCAGACCAACAGCCCCCTGGTGATCCTCAGCCAAAGTGGTCCACAAGCCACAAAAGCATCTACATTTCCAGGCAAAAGTGGAATTTGCTCAATGGGAAGGATGCAGGGGGACCCAGATGTGGAAGGTCGTCAGTTCTTAGTGAGCTTCCGACCCCCATCCTGCCGCTTGGTTGCTCCTGATTAGTGGAAAATTAGCCACCGCTGAGGCTGAGCCTCCACACCAAGCCAACCATTCTCAAGAGATAGTAAAGCACAGCTGGGCCACCTCAAGGCTCTCTAAGAGGAAGGGCCCATTGCACACCGCCAGTCCCCTTGAGCAGAGGGCATGGATTAATATGTAAATGTGATTTCTAGACAGACATTCAGTAGCAGTCTCTGGGGGAAGTGTATCAGGAGACACGTTACCATAAGGGTAAAAAAAATCCCAGCACGTCAGCAAAATGAGGATCTTCTGTTTAAGTCGTTTTTAACCAGAAGGAAGTTGTAAACGCTGTGCGCAGATACAGCCAATCATCGGGGATGGCAGTGGCCATCCGACAGAAAACAAATGCTTTCCCCTCCCCCATCCCTGTGCACCTGTGCTCCGGACACAAGGAGGACAAGCAGGAGGGAAGTGAAAAGGACTAGGCCTCCGAGAATCCCCTCCGACCAGTGGCCAGGAAGTGAACAGCCTTGAGGCCAAGCAGGCAGAATGCAGTAAAAAGTAGATTCATGTGGATTCAAGTAGATTCATGTAAAATGCAGTAAAAAGTAGATTCATGTAAAATGCAGTAAAAAGTAGATTCATGTAGATTCATGCAGAATGCAATAAAAAGTAGATTCATGTGGATTCAAGTAGATTCATGTAGTTAGGGCAAAATTTAACGCCTTATTCATTTTAACCATTTTAAATTTGTTCTAGCTGTTCTTTTTTGCTTTCTTTTTATTGAGGTTTTTCTCTTTTTTCTTTGCCTGCTGTTGTTGGGATTTTCTATTGCTTTTTGGTGGGGGGGATTTTTTTTCCTATGAAATCAGGATAGCTGGAGCTAGAGATGCCATCTGAAAGAATGGATGGTTAGGGTTATGGCACAAAAAGTTGAGGGAGAAAAGGGAGCAAATAATAATGAGTTCAAGAATGGAAATGTTCTACCATAGATTACAGTGATGATCGCACCACTTTTTAATATGTGTCAATGAGTGAGTTGTAGGGTATGCTAATTGCATGTTAATAAACCTGTTGAAATAAATAAATAAACAGCAACAATAAATAAATACTATACTGCCCAACAGAGCAATCAAGTCCCTGAGTGGTGCAAAGCTGAAAGATTGGCAGCTGGGACCCACAGGGAGGCATCTCTAGACACAAGTCCAGGAAGCCGTCTGCTTGTCAAAGACCCCAGCCTTGAAAACCCGGGCAGCACTGGTCTCCTCTGCACATGGGGCCTCACCAAGAGCCAGAAGGGACCAACAGCAGCCAGCTACATACACGTGGCACTCGAGCGAATTAGAGTTTTTCCCATTTCAAAGTTTGTTTCCTCAGTCACCTTACCCCCATTCCTGGTGCCCAACGACCACAGGTGGCCAGTGGCTACCGTGTCAAGCAGGTACCACTGCACAAGCTCCTGTGGTTAGAAGAACCTGAACCTATGGAAAGACGCAACAGAGGACGTCTCTCAAATTGGACTGGTATCTCATTTTCTCACTATTCGCTGAGAAACAAGAGAAGTGTTATGCTGGGCAAAACAAGCTAACACCTTCCCGCCTTACAAAGGCTCCAAGAGCATCGCTGTATGACATTATGAAGCCTTCCTCTTCCCGATGGTCTGAGAATCTGCTCAGTCCCCTTCCCACATAGAACAGTGTTAAAAGCTTAAGTAGGTGCTGTTAAGATTTGTAATCCGCTGTAATTCACAGTGGAAGTGAGACACGTAGCAAAGCACTAGAAGGCAGAGCCTACCCAGGAAATCACACTGCCCTGGCTTCACAGTTCTTCAAGAACAATGCAGGTTTGGAGGTGGGTGATTTGGTTTTGGTTTGAATTACGCAAAAATTGGAAAGGAATGCAGTTGTTGGGGTGGGGGAAGGGAAGTGAGGAGAAAGGATCCCTCAAATAGCTGCAGTGCATTTCCTCCCAGTCCCCTTCCTTAGGGTGAAACAGAGCCCCCGCTTTCTCTGACTTTTCTTATGTTCCCCTTTGATAGCGCATTCACTCTCCTGCTCCTTGATACTTCAGTAGCTCTAGAGTTGCTTCCAAAAGCAACTCTGGAGGGCTATGCACTGAACTGCTAGCTACAAGGTCAGCAGTTTGAACCCACCACCCACTCCATGAGAGGAAGACGAGGCTGTCTACTCCCACAAAGATGTGAAGATATAGGACTCAAGGGGGCAGTTCTACCCTGTAATATACGGAGACTAAGAGTCAGAAGTAACCCAACAACAGCAAGTTGGGTTTGGGATTTTATAGTTGCTTCCAGGTAAGTCTCACAGATTGTATGTGGATGCATGTGTGTGCCTGCCCACACGTACGCATGTGTAACATTTTGTCTGTGTTATATGAAGAAGTCAATTTCCTTTATAGCCTCTAACTCTGTGGTTTGAAAGGTAAGTTTTTCCAGCTAAACTTTACATGATGCTTGGATGTTTGAAATAGATTCATTGGCCTCTTTGAATCTGTCTTGATTGGCAGAGGTCTGACTCATGGTTGGCAGGTCTCCCAAGACCTTCAAAGCTCTGAGGAGGGTGACAGCAAGATCTACAGGGTACCAGGGGCCCTTCATGTTGTTCAGGGATACACAACAGGCTTTGGAGATGGAGCAAAGATGCACATCAGTCTTAAACATTCACCCAGCACCAGGTCCCCTGGCCACCGGAAAGGTTAAGCATAGAGTCCACGTTACCAAGTGTTTTCCACAGTCACAGGCCAGCGTGGTACCTGCTCTCTGGGGTTTGCTTTGAGTTAATTGGATGTCAAGACTCCATCGTGGGCTCGGGGAGGAGATGAGCCAGTCAGGGTGCGATGTAGCAACGATGAAAAATACAACTTTCCTCTAGTTGCTAAATGTTTCCTCCCCGCTCCCACTATCAAGGCACGAATTCTACCTTGCAAGTCTGGCTAGACCAGAGGATGTACACTGGTACAGATAGGAACTGGAAATACAGGGAATCCAGGGTGGATGAGCCCTGCAGGACCAGTGGTGTGAGTGGCGATACTGGGAGGGTAGAGGGAGAGTGGGTAGGAAAGAGGGAACCGATTACAAGGAACTATATGTGACCTCCTCCCTGGGGGACGGACAACCAAAAAGTGGGTAAATGGAGATGTTGGACAGGGCAAGATATGACAAAATAATAATTTATAAACTATCAAGGGCTCATGAGGGAGGGGGGAGGGAGGGGGAAAATGAGGACCTGATGCCTGGGGCTTAAGTGGAGAGGAAATGTTTTGAGAATGATGAGGGCAATGAATGTATAAATGCGCTTTACACAATTGATGTGTGTGTGGATTGTGATAAGAGTTGTATGAGCCCCTAATAAAATGATTTTAAAAAAAAGAAAAGACTCCATCGTGGGAACGGTACCCTTGCTGGCCATAGGAACTGTGAGCAGAGTGTGAAGCCATTAAATGCACAGACGAAACCCTGTAAAACAAGCGTGGTTAGCCCTCCTGAAGGAAGAGCTAGCCATCTCTTCCAGGCACAGTAACTTGCCTGGAATCACAAGTCCATTGCCTGACTGCAGGGCCCAGCCTCTTCAGCACCCCAGCACCTTGTGCTTCTCCAATGAGGAACAAGCTACAGGCTGAGGAAGGTGATGCAAGAATCTCCATCCCATGTCCTTCCTGACTTTCCACTGGCAGCACGTGATACTCTCAGGAGAGCTAACGTCCATAGTCTCAGGAGCCTGCTCTCCTTGCCTCAACCCCAACATTAAAACTCGAAAAGCAGGTTTACCCTCAGGGACATACATCCTCAAGGCCAAATGAAGGGCCTAAAAATATCTCCCCACGTGTTTCACTCATGGTCTGAAATTCCTTTCACAGGAGGTAGCCTGGTGTGCAGAAAGAACAGTGGACTAGGGGTCCCAGATCCAATTCTCCCAGAGCAGCACACACACACTGCCGTCGAGCTGATTCCCACCCTGTGGGACAGACTAGAACTGCCCCACAGATTTCTTTATTTCTTTCCCTCGTGCTGCGATAGCAGAAATACCACCAATGGGTAGCTTGAACAAACAGAAATTCACTTTCTCAGTTTAGAAGGCCAGAATTCAAACCGCGGCGGGAAGGGCAGGCTCTCTCCTCCAGCTCTGTCTCTCTAGCTTCTGCTTCCTGGATCCTTGCATGATTGCTCCGTGTGGCCCCTACTGAACCCCATCGCTGCTTCTTTCACTTGCCTGTTTGATCTCTTTTATATCTCAAAAGAGATTTACATAAAACACACTCTACCCTCACCTTATCCCAGTAACCGCACAAAGACAATCTATGCCCAAACGGGCTTCGAATCACAGGCCCTGCTGTTGTGAAGTGCTGCTCAGGCAGTTCTGACTCAGAACAATCTTTCCTTCAACAGGACAAAATACCGCCTGGTCCTGGGCCATCATCGCAATCACTGCTCTGCTTGAGCCCATTGCCACAGTCATCGTGTCAGTGCATCTCAGGGAGGGCTTCCTCTTTTACACTGGCCTTTTACTTGACTGACCCTGATGCGCTTCACCAAGAACCGTGCCCTGTTGAGAAATAACGTGCCCAATGGACCTCACAGGCAGTCTGGCCATATGTCTTCTAAGACAGAGTTGTCCGCGGTATAGTCAGCATTCTTTGTCAGCATCATAGCTTCTAGACGATTCAGACAACGTTCCACTGCTACTCAGATTTCACTGCCGATTTCTTTAGAAGTAGATCACCAAGTCTTTCTTCCTAGTCTGTCTTCGTTCGAAAGCTCCGCTGGAACCTGTCCACCATGGGCGACGCTGCTGGTCTGTGGAATACTGGTGGCTTCGCTTCCAGCATGGGAGCAACACACAAGCCACCACCGTATGACAAACTACCATGGACTGGTGGTAGTTCGACACAGGTAGAACATAGGCATACAGGTTCGGATTTACCACATGTGTTTTGGGGTTACAGAGTGAAATACACAACCCTTTCCAAGGCTGTGGATCTTTCTGGAAGCTGTCTGCTATAACTTTCTCTTGCAGAGCAGCTAGTGGGTTTCAATCCAACCTCTCAGTTAGCAGCGGAGAAACAAACTGCTGTGCCACTAGCATTCCTGTAGCCAGAGGCCAAGTAGCGAGAAATCCTCAGAATGCTTTCAATGACCGCTGATCCGTGGATGGTGAGCAGCTGGCTGGTAGGATCTTTCTCTTCTGCACCTTTGTGCTCTACACGTCCAGTGTAGGGGGTGCCTGCCTCAAGGACGCCCTCAGGGGAAGTTTGTTATAAAGCAGGTGAGAGAGGGGACCAGTCTCCTTAGACACCCAACAATAAGGAATAGTGGCTAGACCTGTGGCTACCACTCAGCAATGGACTGGGTGCTAAGGGAATGACTACTCCTATGTTAACAGGGCTCCCTAGGAGACCTGAGAGTGCCCCTGACAGACCTACCCCACCGCCAGAATAGTATCTACAGGATCCCTAGCCCAGTGGACCCACGACCACCATATTGTATAACCCCAGGGAAGGCCACGCTCAGACTGCCAAGTGGACAGAGTGCCCTAGAGTTGTATAAGCACAGGTGTCGGGCCTATCAATCCAGCTCTGCACCTGTCTCAGTCTCTGGCCTGTCCCAGGCCTGTGCCTATAGTTAAGCAGCTCAGTCTTTCTAAGTCCGCTCTACAGCTATAAAGTAGAGACGAGGGTAGCACCCAAGTTCATAGAACTAGTGTGAGTGTGAAGTGACAAAATCATATAAAGCTCTTTGCCTGGTGTCTGCCAAATACTTGTTCCTTTTGGTATCTACTGAAGGCTCAGCATCATCTTCTTTAACTGTGTGTGTGTGTGTGTGTGTGTGTGTGTGTGTGTGTGTGTGTGTGTGGCGATTCCCAGCAGGAAACAGACCCCAATGCCGCATCTGCCTCAAGGTGATCTTCATGATCATTCCATCGTTGCTCATTCTTTTCGGGCTATTGTTGAGAGGGTTCTTACTTAGATTTCATGTGTCTTCCCCATTCACTCCTTTTATTGAGCATGTCCTATGTCCACAACACGGCTCCACAAGCCACCGAGATGGGGGGATGCCTAAGCATGATTCTTGTTGACCTTAGGCTTTGGGGCCACTGTGGAAGTACATGGTGTCCAGGGTAATGCCAGGAGGCACAGATATCCCAGAGCTGGGTTTTAGGCCTTCTCAAAAGGCTCTCTGGTGCTGGAAGCAAAAGTCCTGTGGCACACAGCCAGGCAGAGAGCAAGCAAGTCAACAGAAAGGCAAGAGGCAGGCCCCGAGTCAATGCAATACAGTGGTAACACAGTGAGCCAAAGAGGGCTGCAGAGTGGCCCAGGAGCAGGTGGGAGAGTCACCCATAGAAGTTCAAAGCACAATTGTGTATCCTGCAGACTCCATGTTCAAGAGCACCATGAACAACTGCAGGTGTCTGTGAGAGTGGGCCAGTCTCCCGGCAGCTGGCTTTTCTGCACATGAAGCAGAACTCAAAAGTGATGACAAAATCAAAATGTCCTCATGCAACCCAGCCAGGTCCTCAGGGCCTCACGCCATGGCCCTTGCTCTGAGGCCCACCCACATCCCTGGCTGAATAGAGCTTCACCCAGGCTCCAGGGGTGGGGTGGGGGTGGGGGGCTCACCCAGCAGAGGTGCCAGAGTCAGAGCCAAAACTTTTCCCTCGAGACCAACACCTGCCAAGGGGTGTCCAGAGCCCCAGTGGCCGCCCAAGAGAAAGCTGGTACCTGGGTGCCACTGCCCCGCATGATGTCCTCAGGGATGGCGTAGATCTGGTTCTCCATCTCGACCCTCCGGAGGCCATTGTCCATCACCCGCACCCTGAGCACCCGAAAGTTGGTCCCTCCGAGGTCCAGGGCCAGGAACTCTCCATGTTCTGCAGAGAAAGGAAGGGCGGGTAGCAGCTTCAGAACGACAGGACACTCGTCACACGTCACTGCACAGAGAACAAGACTTCCCCCATACAGAGGGGTCAGTTCTACACTTACACGGATGTATTTTTTTTTATGCTAAGCTTAGGGTACTTTATAACGGAGGTCAACCTACAGTCAATGTCACCCTGATGGTCTCTCCAGTGATATTTTATTCACCCCTGGCAAGAGTCAGTTCTGTGCTTCCTACCCTCAGAACACCCAGCACACTGCTCCCGGCCTATGGGCCCTGGGCCTACTGCCAAATGGTGATCCCAATACAAAAAGCTTGCCTGCAAGGACAGGATGGCCTCCAGCAGAGTGAGTGGGTCCTATGATGGGGTTGGATGGGGTCCAACTGGTGATAAATGAAGAGGACTAGCAAATAAGCCAAGCGGTGCCCCCTCCCCCAAACCACTCTGAAGTGCAGGGCTATGAGCCAGGCGAACGCCACTGTGTGTCAGAGGCGGCTCAACCCTGCCACGGAGCCGACGGGGAAGGAGGAGGAGTGAGACTCCAAACACAAGGGCCCCAGACACAAATGGGTCCAGATCTTCATGGAAACCAGCCATGCAGACAGGAAACACCCACAAAAACGCAGCCCAGCGTGCCACTGAGCAGCACAGGATGAAAGGCCGAAGAGGCTGGGAAACAGGGCCAGGGGAGGGGGCTCGAAGGCCAGCCAAGAGCTGGGGAGATGGGACCACAGCAGCCTCTTTGACAGACACTATCTCCCCCCACCTTCCGCCACCCTGCTGCACACCTTCCCTCCGAATACAAGGTTATCTCCAGGGGGGCTCACTCACCCCAGTCTTTCCCAGTGGGACGAGACGGCTCCTAACGCAAAGCGGAGTGCATGTGGAGGGGCAGGGGGATGCTCTGGACCAATGAGGGGTACTCTGGGGCCCGGTCACCTCGCAGCTCACAGGGACCACCCCCCACAGAAGGCAAATGGGAGACAGCATCCAGCAGACATAGATCTCGCATACCACAGGAAAAAGCTGTGAGGGAAAAAACTGAATACCACACGTCAAGCACCTGGCCAAGTGCCCAGAACTTAGGGCATGCTCGGTACTTGTCATGCAGACTCTCAGCAAACTGCTCAATGCCCACACTGCAGGGCCCAGGCTCCTCGGGAGACCGCAGAAACCTAGCCAGGAAACTCCATCAGGGTCAGCTCCAGGGAGGTCAGCATTCCTCCTGGGGGAGTCAGGAGCATTTTCCATTCCGTCCCGGTCACGTGAAGGCTTCCAAAAGAAGATGCAATCACCGGCTGACTCAGGCCAGGCCTGTGTGAGGTGATCTCTGCCCTGTCGGGGCCTCCAGTGCCTTTTCCAGGCACTCTGGTTCCGAGTCTTCCCTGGTAGTGGAACTGACGCCCGGTTCCAGGAAAAGCGATGTGGGGGTTGTCGTGAGCGACGGGGAGAAAAGACGAGGGGACCTGCCCGCATCAGCACTCGGAAACTCAGACTGTGTGCAAGCCGTTGAATCCACTGCCCGGGGTGCGGGGTGGGGGGTTCAGTGGCAAAGGCTGCCTCGGGTGTCCCTCAGGTTGGCTTCCACGTAGGTCCAGCCCAGAAGCTGGATGCCCTGCACAGGGCACAACTCCAACAGGACATGATCCCGCAGCATATGCTGAGTGATCAAAGGGAACCACAAATAAAGAAATGTTAATAATTCCATTCCCAGGGAGGAATGCCATCCCTTGATTTCTTGGCAAGGTTTCTGTGGGCCAGACATTCCTCTGCACGCCTCCTCCCTAAGCCGGCATGGCCACCAGCAGCCTAGCGAAGGACCAAATTCCTTCCACCGGCCAGAACCTTGGAGGGAGGCCCCATGGGATTCCATCCTCACTTTTAATGAGCATTCTGCTTGTGTTTCTTCTAAGACTTATTAGTCTGTGCCTCTTCAACACCACAGTTCAAACGCATCCAATGTGCACACAGTAAGCCATCAACCAATGGCAGCTAGAACTTTTTAAGCCATTCATGTCTTTGTTGTTGTTATTATTGATTTCCTTTTGTGCAATTCCCTCTCCTAAGTTGTCTCAGCCCCTCCAGATATACCTACTTCTACTCTGGGCTCAAAATCTCCATCATGGTTAGCCTCTGTGTGAAAGTGTGGTGGGGAATCCAAAGGAGGAATCAACTGCGAGCCTGGGACAGTCAGACGGGGTGAGCTATGAAATCATCATGACTATGCCAGGTTTCTTAAGGAAATACAAAGCCATGGGCAGAAGGACCTGTGGTCTAGCGAGACCATTCTGTTAAGCAATTACAGAGACCATTCTGTTACGCAATTAGAGTTAGCAATTGAGGCAATGATTGAGAAACCATCTTGCATTAGACTTGATTGCTGAGTGTTCTTTTGTAAAGCAAATGTTTGAGTGCTGACTATGAAACTGATACAAAGACTTCAAAAAGTTCAATGAACAATGGGATTAAGAGAAAATTTCCACATATTTTTGGAGCCCCCCTGTATAGGAAACTGTAAGAGGTAACATTTATCTCATTGCTAAGCAATAAATATACAAGGGGGTACAACCCCCCCCCCCCCAAAAAAACATGCTCATTTGTTTTTTGGATGTGAGGGGGATAGTGTATTTGGAGTTTGTTTCACCAGGTCAGACTGTTGACCAAGCTTTCTATTTACAGGTTCTGAAAAGATTGCATAACTGTGCAACCAAAAAGGCCTGATTTGTGGCAGGAGGGGAACTGTTTTTGCCACCACAACAATGAACCTGCTCACACACTGTATTAGTCTGGGTACTTTGGAGAAACAAATCCACAGCAACTCATGTATAAGAGAGAGTTTTATGCAAAGAAAATGTGCATCACGAAAACATCCCAACCCAATGCTGCCCAAGCCCACAAGTCCAACATTAAACCATACCCAACACCAGTCCACAAAGTCCTTCACCTCACAAAACAGAGGCAATATTGCCGACTGCAGGAGGAAAGCTGAGTCAGTGAACGTGTAAGCATCTCAGCACTGGCAGGGGTCTCTACACGGCCACTCCAGCACCCAGGGTTGCATCGGGATAGATCCATGCGGCTTCTCCTTGGGGATGTCTTGTAGGAAATCCATCTTGCCAGCTGAAGCAGGGAACTGCTAAGGCAGCTGCACCCGATGCAACCATCACAAAACAAGAGACCCGAGAACTAGAAAGGCGAGGCTTCACCACCCATTTATCCCTCCGCCTTTCAACCAGCACCACATGTGATTATCGGCCAGGCTAGCACAATTAACTAACTCACACACCATCTCCTTATTCCAGTTTTTGGCAAAAAACAGCATGCCCTCTTGCCCCACACACCTTACTCACCTGACCCCACTCTGTGCAACTTCTTTTTTGTTTCCAAGCATGAAGAGGGACATGAAAGGACAGTGATTTGACTATGTAGAAGAGGGTGGTGCTGTCGCCATCCAAACAGATAAGTTTGAAAGATGTTTCCAAGAGCAGAATCACAGATCTGACAAATGTATTAAGTGTGATGGAGAGTACTTTGAAGGTGATATGGCTGTTTTGTGAAAAAAAAAAAAATTTAAATACATAGCTTTGAAAAAAAATTCCAATTTTGGGGGGGTATATCCTCATAATAACAATAACAATGGATATAAAAGTGGCTATAATAACATGATTTCTGTCTCTTTAACTGTTGTTTTTTAAAGAAACAAATTACAAGTAACTTGAAGAAAAGTACAAAAGTGGATATAAGAAGAAACAAAAGTCTCTCTCTTCTTCTCTGTACCTCTCTGAAAACTTTCTAGCAGATCTGTAAGTATATGAATGCCATAAAAGGGAGACTTCATTTGAAGCCTTTCAAGAAAAGGATTCCAATGACAACAAGTTGAGGAGATGTGTGAGTTTAATCTGAAAGAGGTTACCAAAGCATCTTCCTAGAGACTCTCACCAATCCCCACGGAAGCCACCAGGTGGTATGGCATCCCGGTGACCGGCTATCTAACAAGTACTCTTTGCCAACCTTGGGGGGGCTCAAAGCAATACCTCTTTCTATTGTGCAAGGTGACAGTTGCTCTTGATTTTCAGTGCCACGGATGCAGCTCCCGGCAACAGAATGAAGTCCGGCCAGGTCTCGTGGCACTGCCGTGGCAGGCTGGGGATCAGACCATTGTGGTCCTGACAGCTTTCCTTGGCTGATGTTCAGAAATAGATCTGCAGGCCTTTCAGCTTAGTTAGTTTTCATGTAGAAGTCCTGATGGCGCCTGTGCAGCCACACAGCCGACACAAGCCTCTGCTGACAGACGGGTGGTGCTGGCTGCACATGAGGTACATTGACCAGGAATCCAACCTGAGCCTCCTGTATGGGCTGTGGGGAACCATCCCTGACCTCAGAAGGGAAGGTCGGGTACTTTAGAAAACTGGCCTCTATTTTTCAGTCAATTATCTCTTCATAGTTTTTCCATCAAGAGATATTATCTTTGCAATTTCAAAGAGCTCTTTGTATACTAAGAAAAATAACTTGGCTATTCAAGGGGGCTTCAAAATTTCCATGATCTTTAAATTCTATTTTTCCACAAGCTTGCTGAAGAAGTCCCCTCAGATAAATGCCATTCCCCAGTTGGAGGACTGTCTTTAATTTTGTTTTTAATCTGTTTGCCCTGAAGCTGTATTTATGACTTCTGTGTTTTACGTCATGTCCATAAGAAGCTTACGCAATATAAAGTCATATCCGTGCACAAGTTGTTCGAACCCTCACCACGCCCTCCTACACGTGGCCAGTTCTACTTGCAAAAATAAAGGAAACATTTCACCATAGGTTTGTTTAAAAAAACACACACTATATATTTGCCACCGTTTTAAAGAAATGGTTAAGCAGTAAACATAAAACACTGCACTTATCTCCTAATGTCTTACATAGATTTCTTTCTTTTATTAAAATGATGATCAGTACCCGGTCTTCATCTCTTTTGTCTCCTGGATGGAGTTTGGACTCTCTCACTC